ACTCGAATATACGCGAATAGGATAACTATTAGCGTGTCTTTAAAAGCATTTTTCACTGGTAGAACTGGTGCGCACTCAGTATTAAAGCTGTTGTTGTACACTAATCAAATCTGAATGTAAAAGTGAGATATCTTAATTAATAAAATATCCAATGTATATTTCATTAAATATCACAATAAAATTATTGAGGATTTTGCGGTTTTTAATTTGTTTCTATATTTTTATTGAATGTACATCTTTACGTCGATTTGTGTATAACGGCTTTAAAGTGCACTGAGTGCGCACCAGTGAAAAACGCTATAAGCCAAATGCTCATTATATTAATCATTATAAATATTTTAGCTTTAATTTTGTCTGCTTGAAATCAGTATTGGTTTTTCAATATTTCTTTTTCTTATATATTTTTTAATCTAAAAAATGTTACTGTCTCATAATGTTCTTGATGAAAATAAAGAAAATGTATATATTAGTATACTCCTGAGGCGATACCCCTATTAATGTACCTCAATTTGTATGCCTATTCACGTCTGACTCATTTTAACATATAGTTACTAAAACAGATAATAAATGTAAGCTAATTGTTTAATATTGCATAAATCATTGTTTTAACCGTACTTACTGTTCCAATGTACACCCGTAACACAATGGTCTCAGCTCCAAATAGAGCACATTAATAGAGAGAAGCTTAAAATCTTGCGCAATATTACGGATTTCACATAAATTCCTCTAAATTGTGATATGTATCTTTCAAAAATATTTATATTTTAATAATTAAAAAATAGAATATTATCTTTAGTATCATATACATTAATAATTTAATTTAAAAAATATTTTTTCTTATTTATTTCTGTTAGTTTTCTTTATGGTTTATTTAAATAGCCATAAAAGCACATTAATAAGGGCAGATACAGTACAGGGACAATTATTCTATATCGCTTTATATTAAATATTATTTTATTAATATTAAAATATTTTGCATGCGATCTAGAAATTTGATTTTTGGCGAAAGAGCCTTCACGCAGAAATTCAGAAGCAATCTTCTAGTGAGAATTACGAGTCTCGGAACTACGCTTTTCAATTGTATCGCTGATTCTCGAAATGGTTTCCAAGCGGAAAA